AAAACCCCCATTTTGTGCAAAAACCCTCTTGAGAGGCATAAGGATTTTGCGCAAAACCGTTTTGTGCAAAAAAACTGAAGTGGCAACAGTGCTTCTTTTTGCACAAAAACCCCTTGCACAAAAAAAGGCAGAAAATATACTAATGTAGTCACACATTTTCTGCTGCAAAAACTTGCAGTGTAGACAAAGCCAAAGAGTAGTAATTAACGGTTCGCAATCCTGCTGGAAAGGCATAACAAGTGGGGCTTCACAGAGGTCTGTTTTGGGACTGGTTCTGTTCAATATCTTCATCAACGATTTAGATATTGACATAGAGAGTACGCTTATTAAGTTTGCAGATGATACGAAGCTGGGAGGAATAGCAACTGCTTTGGACGATAGGGCCATAATTCAAAATGATCTGGACAAACTGGAAAAATGGTATGAGGTAAATAGGATGAAGATTAATCAGAACAAATGCAAAGTACTCCACTTAGGAAGGAACAATCAGTCTCACACATAGAGAATGGGAAGCGACTGTCTAGGAAGCAGTACTGTAGAAGGAGACCTAGGGGTCATAGTGGATCACAAGCTAAATATGTGTCAACAGTGTGATGCTGTTGCAAAAAAAGCAAACATGGGTGCATTAACAGGAGTGTTGTGAGCAAGACACGAGAAGTCATTCTTTTGCTCTACTCTGCACTGATTAGGCCTCAACTGGAGTATTGTGTCCAGGTCTGGGCACCACATTTCAAGAAAGATGTGGAGAAATTGGGGAAGGTCCAGAGAAGAGCAACAAGAATGATTAAAGGTCTAGAAAGCATGACCTATGAAGGAAGACTGAAAGAATTTGCCTTGTTTAGTTTGGAAAGGAGAAGATTGAGAGGGGACATGATAGCAGTTTTCAGGTATCTAAAAGGCTGTCACGAGGAGGAGGGAAGGAAAAAATGTTCTCCTTAGCCTCTGAGGATAGGACAAGAAGCAATGGGCTTAAACTTCAGCAAGGGAGGTTTGGGTTGTGCATTAGGAAAAACTTCCTAATTGACAGGGTGGTTAAACACTGGAATAAGTTGCCTAGGGAGGTTGTGTATCTCTCTCTCTGGAGATCTTTAAGAGCAAGTTAGATAGATATGTATCAGTGATGGCGTCTAGATGGTACTGGGTCCTGCCTTGTGGGCAGGGTACTATACTTGATGACCTCTTGAGGTCTCTTCCAGTTCTATTGTTCTATGATTCAGAGAAGCAGAGCTTTTATATTCATTGTAAATGAACTAGATTGCATCAAAGAAAATAGTAGATTTCACCAATTTCTACTTCCAATTGGAATGTGCCTAAAGGCTCCAAACTTTGAGTAGCCACTCAGCTTGAAAAGGGGTATTAACATTCTTCTTTCATTTTTAAAAAAGAATCATAGCCCAAAGTTATTTCATTGCCTTAGATATTTGCTATGACTGTCTTAACTCTGTCACACAGATTTTATTGTCATAGGCTTGAATTCCTTTTTTATTGCTGTTTCAGTAGATGTTTTGCTTAAGTTTTTACAGGAAATGATGGCATAATTTTAGTGTGAACGGTTTCAAAAAAGAGAAGTGAAATTATATGCAGACAAGGAGAAACTTTTCTGTTTTGAAGAGGTCATCTGATCTGTTGATGTAAAACAATGTGTGAGCATACGCTATGGAGAGTGCACTGGCTTCTTTCTGTGAAATGTGAATAGAGAACTAAGGGTGTGTCTACACAGCACTCTAAACTTGAAATAAGATACACAATTAGCACTATGCAAATTGTGTATCTTATTTCCAATCTATTTTGTAATTTGAAATTTGGCGCATCTACACAGCGCCAAATTTTGAAATAACATGTTATTTCCAGAAATCCCTTAACCCTTCTGGAATGAGGGATGCTGAAATAGTGCACCTGTTTCTAAAAATAGTTCAAAATAACAGGCGGCTTGTTAAGAGCTGTGCTGTGTAGGCATCCCCTAAGTGTGGTTGCTAATGTGTGGCAAATATGGGTGTTGCAGTATCAGAAAACAATAGGGTCTTAATGTTGCACAGAAATGTGTGCCCACCCTGTTATCAGACAGGACAAGAAATGTATAATATATCAGGAAAAATGGATTTTTCCCCAGCTATGAATCTAACTTTTCCTGTCTCCTCGTAAAGTCCCTTCCCCCAGCCTTAGATCTGGAATTACTTAGATGCACTACGGCAGGACACAAATTGCAGTACAATAAAGACTTGTCTGTAGAATAATTGTCCGTACTACTTCCGGCAGTGTCCCTAACAGATGTTAAAATTAGATTAATCAATTAGTTGATGGCATTTCCATTGACTATTAGATTAGTTGATAAGGGCACTTCCGCTTTGAAATATAGCAAGAACCTGCCCTATTGTTTCTACATTTCAGAGGTAGAAGTGCTGCCTGGTGCTTCCGCTTTGAAATGCACAAGAACCCCAGCAGGGGCTCTTGTGCATGTCAAAGATTGAAATGCAGTATGGAGTCTGGGACCAGCGGGGGACTCAGAGTCCCCCACTGGCCCCAAGCTCCATGTGGCACTTCCGCTTTGAAATGCACAAGAGCCCCAGTGGGGATGACTTGTACATTTCAAAGGTGGAAATGCTGCCACTGTGCTCCTGCTCCCTCCCATGAAGCTGCCTCTGTTACAAGCAGTCGACTCGACTACCTAATAAGGATGTTTTGCTAATCGTGTAATCAATCCAGTTTCTATAGACTACAAGATTAATCTATAAGGGGAGGCTTGCTCCCGGCTGCTCTTACAACATTTAAAATGCAGAGGTGCTGTGATCTATGCAGAGATCTATGTGAGCTGGGACTACTCGGTCCCGGCTGGCACTGGGTCCAGCAGCCCCAGTTCACGGCAGCCCAGCTGGTAGAGGCAGCGGGGGGGAGGGAGAGTAGGTGGCACTGCAGAGACAGGGCTGGGAGGAATTCGTTTTTATGCCAGCTCCCTCCCACCTAGCAGCAGCTATTGCCCCTCCCCCACCCCCGCTGTTGTTGCCTCTCATACAGAGGCAGCAGGGGATGGTCAGGGAGAGCTTATGCTTATTGGGTAGTCGATTACTCACTCAATTTCTACTTCTAATGTCAAACACCATCTTGAGCTACTAATATGCTTTTTTTTCTTTTCTGTGCAAGTTGCTGATTTTCTTTTTATTTATGGAATTATATACTAGTCTAATATTGTGCTTTGTAGTTGGGTAAGACACTAATCTGAATTTTTGTATCATTAAGTATGATAAACAATTACAGAGCTTTATAATTTTGTTGTGCTAAAATGACTCAGTATCAAAGCTTAATTCTACAGTGGCAAATTTGAAATATTGAAGTTTGGACTTTTTGTCAGTATATGTACTGTCAGAAAATGAAGCCACTATTGAAAGAAACAGATTTCTATATACCTATTTAGCCGTATATTATTTGAGGTTGAACTCACTACTGGTGAGTTCGCTAATCTTATTTGCTTTCTTATCAGAGTAGGCAAAATAATACTAGCGGTGCTTTGATTTCCAAAGGCTCAAGGTCACCATTAAGAAATTTGTTTAGTTATAATTATTGGATGACTGTCATCATCATTTTTTTTAACAGGGAAATAACCATTTTCTCTTGTTGCAGTTATTTTTGCTGCTTCTTTCCCAAATCACCATATGCTTTTGCTCACTTGCTTATTTTTGGTGCTTGCCCTTTTCTTGGTCTTGCCAACCTCTCATCTGTTCTTATATTCCTACTTCCAACAGTGGCATTATTGTAGTTTAGACCCTTTGGGAGGAAGTAGCCTGAGACGGTTGCATACAGCTGTGTTCTGCACCCCTAAAACAGCAAATAAAAAGCAGGGATTGATACTTCCCTCAGCACTGTAGCCCTGTAGGATCTTGCCAGCAGTAGGAAGAAGGAAATTTCTTTTGAGAGGAAGCTCAGAGGGCATTACAGTTTGGAGGAGGATTTTAAATTCGTTCCCCTTTTTTTGTAGATATGGGTTGCACCAAGGCGAATCTTTTTGTTGTGGGGCATGCTCTTGCCGTTAATTGTACTTATATGCACCTTTCTGAGCAAGAAGAGCAGCAGTAGGCAATTAGAGGTTTTTCTCAACAGAAAAGTAGCAAGAGATGCAAAGTTCTGGTGGTAAAATGCAGGAGGGAAAGTCTTGTAGGCACCACACACCTTAGCTTGAAGACTAATGCTTCTTGCTGATTGATCTTTCCCAGTGCTGAGGAGGATGAGGATGAAATAAGTTGGTATAAAATTGAAGGAAGCAGCTGCTGACTATCTTTTCAGGGCTCACTGCCATGGCTTTTATTTCACACAGTGTTAATGGATTAAAAGCTTTCATTGACTCTTGGAGGGAATAGGCTTGGAAAATTTCAGTTTGAAAACATTAAAGGTTGAGGAAGGATTTCTGGAATAGATGGGCTCAGGAAATCCCAATTATAGCTGTTGCTGAATTTGCCACCTATAATTGAATGTTTTCTAGATGCTTGTAATCTGCACACACAGACATGACACAAACATTTTCTGTTACTGTAGTAGTCTAATTTTTAAACATAGTAAATTTTGGAAAGCATGATATTCTAATACTTTGTTAATGGAAGGCTGGACTACACTAAAAGGTAATATTTTATACACCTGTGAAGAGAGCAAAATTTCGCAAAAAGGCATGTATGAATTGGGTAGTAAACTGCTTTAAAAATTCAATGTTTCAGAGAAATTTTGAAAATAAAGATACCTAGTTTTCAACACACTGAAATATAGGTATGATTTAAAAATCACTGTTGTGCAATGTCTTTTTATTAGAATGTTGCCTCATGTAACTACCACTTTATAACTGGTATCTACAAATCTGAAATAAGTTTTATAGACTTAATCTATTTGTTATGTAAAATTATTACTTAGCTGTGTAACATCCTGTGTAATGGCAAAGCCAGACAGCATTTAGTACTCTAGGAATTGCCTAGAAGAACTGCGTACTGCACTTTGACTTTTTCCTTTGGTTCTTTTTTCAGATCTTGAACCTGATGATTGTGCATCCATATACATCTTTAATGTAGACCAACCATCATCTTCTGTAAATCAGCCAATTTGTATCCCTCACCATGGATTGCAGCCACACTCCTCGCCTCTGTCTCCACCAACCAGACTGCCAGGTCATAAAAACTATGAGGGAACTTGTGAGATACCAGAATCCAAATACAGTCCATTAGGTGGACCCAAACCCTTTGAGTGCCCTAGTATTCAAATTACATCTATCTCTCCTAACTGTCATCAAGGGATTGAAGCTAGTGAGGATGATTTGCATACAAATGGCCCAGAAAATGAATATATGGAAAGGCCTTCAAGGGACCACCTATATCTCCCTCTTGAGCCATCCTACAGGGAATCATCCCTCAGCCCAAGCCCTGCCAGCAGCATTTCCTCCAGGAGCTGGTTCTCAGATGCTTCCTCTTGTGAGTCAATCTCCCATGTTTATGATGATGTAGACTCAGAGCTGAATGAAGCTGCTGCTCGATTTACCCTTGGATCTCCCTTGGCATCTCCTGGTGGCTCTCCAAGGAGTCCAGGGGATGAATCTTGGCAACAGCCTTATGGATTTGGGCATGCCCTGTCTCCTAGACAGTCTCCTTGTCATTCTCCTAGAACTAGTATTACAGATGAAAATTGGCTAAACCCTAGACCAACATCAAGGCCCTCATCGAGGCCTACATCCCCTTGTGGGAAGCGACGACACTCCAGTGCAGAGATTTGTTATGCCAGCTCCTTGTCTCCTCACCATTCTCCAACTCCTTCCCCTGGCCATTCTCCCAGAGGAAGCATAACAGAAGACACGTGGTTAAACACTTCTCTCCATAGTGTACAAGGTCTTAATTCTGGCCTTCCACCATTTCAGTGTTGTACAGAGACTGACATCCCTCTTAAAACAAGAAAGACCTCTGAGGATCAAACTGCTACTTTATCAGGAAAAATAGATCTCTGTTCTGAAGAACAGAGTAACTTATCACCATCCATTGAAATTGCAGTAGATGATTCCACTGGATCTCAACATGTGTTAAAAAAGGATTTGCCTGGTGACCAATTTCTTTCTGTTCCTTCGCACTTTACTTGGAACAAACCCAAACCTGGCCATACTCCTATATTTCGGTAAGTGATATAAAAACTTTAAAATTTTAAACTTTTCTGCGTGTTATGCTCATGTTTATATTTCAGTGTTGCATGGAGCCCTTTTTCAAAAACAGTTGTTAAGAATATGAATATTTAAAAAAAGTTAAGTGAATTATCAGATCTGCTTAATAGTTAAAATATTCCAGCCATATTATAATAATTTAGGCTCATATACTTTGTTAAATGTGAACAGATTCTTGTCATTGTACAGAACTCCGTTGAATCACATGGGGTATCACAAGGACTAAGCAGTACACCAAATGTAACTTCTTCTGAGAATCAATAAATTAGAAGTTTTTCAAAGAAGAAATGTTCTAGTCCTGTTCATGATGTTCAATGCATTTGGATGCAATAAATTAACTATAACCTAGAAGAGCAATAAAATATTAATTATGGATAAGTAAGAGTGCTAGAAATAGTGTAACTGTACCCTTGTTGGTTCCCAGATATTAGGTACACAATGTGGGTGAGAACCAACTTTGTTTACCAACTTTTTGAACCAACTTTTCTTGATATGAGACAAGCTTTTGACTTCTTCAGACCAGAAATTGGTCCACTCAAAAATACTACTTGGTCCACAATATTTCTCTCAGGCCTATAAAGGTATACCATTTATTTCTATAAGGTTGTTTTTTAATAGGACTTTCATTTCTATTTTGCTTGCTTTTTGCTTGTTACTAGAACCCTGTAGAGAAATTCTATCTGGTTATTTTCCCCAGTGCCAATTCAAATCTGTTCAAACTGAAGGAACTGGTTACTGATGTTTGTTTGCAGTCTACTTGGAAATGCTGCACTGGAGTCCAGTGTTTCAAAGGGACAGCGCCACGTAGCTGAACTGGGGATTTTGAAGTACCCTTTTGAAGTGCCTTTTTGAAGTACTGTACTTTTTTGAAGTACTCCCCCCCCCCCCCCCCTTGCTGCCTGTATCAGAGGCAGCAAAGGGAAGGGGGGAATCGACTAGTGAACTCACTAGTTGACTAGTCCTTAACATCCCTAATACAGATGCAGCGGTGCGGGGGTGAGGTGAAGGTGGCTCTGTGGAGCTGGTACACGCAGAGATCTGGCTTAAGTCAGCTCCCCATAAATAACAGCTCATGCCTGCCACCTCGTCCCATCTCCTATGCTGCTGCCTGTAACATCCCTACTCCTCAGTACATCAGCACAGTTGCCATGTACAGTCGTCCCTCCCTCGCCCCCCCCAACCTCTTCTGCCATGTGTATTGCTTGGTGTTCTATTTTTAATTTCTCTTCTCAGCTCCTCACTCAGCAGAAGGCTGCATGCTAATCAGGATGGAGGGGTAGTATCCATTATTGGTTTCGTGGGGCATGACCTCATAATCTTGTGGCTCAGAAGAGATGCTTGGATAAGTGGGCTCTTAGCTGAACATGTAGATGTAGACTTTATATACAATCCACTTGAGTCTTCTTTCATGAGCTGCTTGCCACTTCAAAGTATTAACCAATAGCAACAGATGAAGTGAAGTTCAGCACATATAAATCTAGGGTTAGATGGCAGCATTTTCTGGCTTTATTCAGTGGACTAGTCTGGTGTGTCCCTTCCTTCCAAGAAGGTCAGCCCTCTCAAGGCACATAGATATCTTTTTCCTTTGATCACATGTAAAATGGTCAAAGGGACTCTCACAAACACTCATCGATATACAGCTGTCAAGACCTCCTCTCCCAGTCACAGGTTTTCCCAGCTGCTCCGGTTAATACCTCCATCATACAATATACCTTCATCTGCCATAATGACTGAACCTAGAGTGCATGCAGATAATTACCAGTGGCTATAGGCACCTCTAAGAGGGCGGAGCTAAGGTTGTGTGTGGGTGTAGCCTAACTCTGTATTTCCTGGGGTTTGGACACTTGTTTTACTGCACTCAGCATTCTGAAAGGACATGATGCAACTGGGTAATCTTAACTCTAGATTAATAAAGATTTTTATTAGTAAATATATGACCAAGGTTATAAGTTAAATGAGTGTATGGCAGGGCAAACTTGCTACTTCATGTTCAGGTTCATTGCACTGCAATGTATCTGCAATTGTCTGGTGCTTTGAGACAGAATCAGACTTAGTAACAGAGGGATAAGCCTTCCTACAGTAAAACTAGATAGTTTATTCTGTTTCTACAGATGCATAGAAAGAATCCAGGCCACCTCTGCAGTGCACTTATTTTCAGAATTAGTATGTTCAAAATAGTCCTTTTTTAAAATCTGGATACTCTTCAACTGGACACACGAACTTGAATTTATACGGCTCTAATTGAATTTTATTCTGAGTTAAAGCACTGAGGAGTCCTGTGGCACCTTGTAGACTAACCGAAGTGTTGGAGCATAAACTTTCGTGGGCAAAGACCCACTTCGTCAGATGCATGTAGTGGAAATTTCCAGAGGCAGGTATAAGTATGCAGGCCAGAATCAGGCTAGAGATGACAAGGTGGATCCTATGAGGGAGGATGAGGCCTACTTCTAGTAGCTGATCTGGAAGTGTGAATACCAAGAGAGGAGAAGCTGCTTTTGTAGTTAGCTAGCCATTCACAGCCTTTGTTTAATCCTGAGTTGATTGTGTCAAACTTGAAGATGAACTGTAGCTCAGCAGTTTCTCTTTGAAGTCTGGTCTTGATGGTTTTTTTGCTGCAGGATGGCTACCTTTAAATCTGCAATTGTGTGTCCAGGGAGACTGAAGTGTTCCCCTACAGGTTTTTGTATATGCCATTCCTAATATCTGATTTGTGTCCATTTATTCTTTTACATAGAGACTGTCCAATTTGGCCAATAAATATTGCAGAGAGGCATTGTTGGCACATGATGGCATATATTACGTTAGTAGATATGCAGGAAAATGAACCAGTGATGCTATGGCTGATCTGATTAGGTCCAGTGATGGTGTTGCTGGTGTATCTATGTAGGCAGAGTTAGCACCGAGGTTTGTTGCATGGATTGGTTCTTGAGTTAGAGTTCTTATGGTGTGGTGTATAGTTGCTGGTGAGAATATGCTTCAGGTTGGCGGGTTGTCTGTGGGTGAGGACTGGCCTGCCTCCCAAGGCCTGTGAAAGTGAGGGATCATTGTCCAGGATGGGTTGTAGATTACTAATAATGTGTTGGAGAGGTTTTAGCTGAGGACTGTAGGTGATGGCCAGTGGTGTTCTGTTGGTTTCTTTCTTGGGCTTATTCCGTAGCAGGAGGCTTCTGGGTACATGTCTGGCTCTGTTAATCTGTCTCCTCACTTCCTCATGTGGGTATCGTAGTTTACAGAATGCTTTTTGAAGATCTTGTAGGTGTAGGTCTCTGTCTGAGGGGTTGGAGCATATGCTGTTGTACCTCAGTGCTTGGCTATAAACAATAGATTGTTTGGTGTGTCCGGGATGGAAGCTGGAGGCATGCAGGTAAGCATAGCGGTAGGTAGGCTTTCGGTATAGGGTGGTGTTTATGTGACCATCATTTATTTGCACTGTGGTGTCCAGGAAATGGACCTCCTATGTATACTGGTCCATGCTGAGGTTGATGGTGGGGTGGAAGCTGTTGAAATCATGGTGAAATTCTTCCAGAGTCTCCTTCCCATGGGTCCAGATGATGAAGATGTCATTGAAGTAGCGTAGGTAGAGAAGGGGCATAAGTGGACGAGAGCTGAGGAAGCGTTGTTCCAGGTCAGCCATAAAAATGTTGGCATGTTGTGGGGCCATGCGGGTGCCCATATCAGTGCCACTGGTCTGGCAGTATATATTGTCACCAAATCTGAAATAGTTGTGTGTGAGGATAGTCGCAGAGCTCAGCCAACAGTTGTGCTGTGGCATCATCAGGAATACTGTTCCTGACAGTTTGTATTCCATCTACATGTGGGATGTTTGTGTAGAGAGCCTCTACAACCATGGTGGCTAGGATGGTGTTTTCTGGAAGATCACCAATGCACTGTAGTTTTCTCAGGAAATCAGTAGTGTCACGAAGGTAACGGGGAGTGCTGGTGACGTAGGGTCTGAGTAGAGAGTCCACGTATCCAGACAGTCCTTCAGTGAGAGTGCCAGTGCCTGAGATGATGGGGCATCTGGGATTTCCAGGTTTGTGGATCTTGGGTAATAGATAGAACAACCCTGGTTGGGGCTCTAAGGAAGTGTTGATTTGTTCCTGTGCTTGTGTGGGGAGTGTCTTGAGCAGATGGTGCAGTTTCTTAGTGTATTCCTTAGTGGGATCTGAGGAAAGTGGCATGTAGAATTTGGTATTGGAGAGTTGTCTGGCAACCTCCTTTTGGTAGTCAGGCCTATTCATGATGACAACAGCACCTCCTTTATCAGCCTCTTTGATTATAATGTCAGAGTTGTTCTGGAGGCTGTGGATGGCATTGCATTCTGCATGACTGAGGTTACAAGGCAAGCGATGCTGTTAAATGAGGCAAAATTAAACCAACCAAAAAGTTTAAAGATCTGAGCTTGTTGTGAAGCTCCGAGATTCTGTGATTTTAATCTGTGACTTCTGAAGTAGCCTGTGAAGCTAGTTCTGGGTAGGGGGGATAAAGTTTAACTGGTTACCTGGGGAGCCCAGCCTGAATAGGCCCCCTAACCATCCTTAGTCGCAGAGTGAGCTTCCTCTCGTCAGCTCCTGTCAGAAGTTAAACAGTTGTTAATTAATAGTTAGTTATAGTGTTAATAGTTCTTAGATAATCTTAGCAATAGGTTCACAGTTTTATAGCAGTTAAAAAAAAGGGGGGGGGGCAGACGTCACAGTACTGTGCATTTAAAAAAATGAGTGAAAGCAGTGAACACATACATGAAGAAACTATCTGAAGGAAACCATGATGGGATCATCTGGTTTTTAAAAAACGTGACAGTTGCTGGGAACCCATGCCTGCTTCAGAAGGGCACTCCCACTTTTTCAGTAGGTTTATTCATCAGCTATTCTGACCTTGAAAATGGCCAACTGTGTGGCTCTCCTGGCAAATCATAACTTTGATAATTATACAAAACTAACTACACTTATAGAGCACC